GTTTATTTTCCATTTATTTTCAGAATGCCTCATTTCCACTTTATTTTTTCTTTCTGGCCCATGTGTGATAAAGTCCATATTGATGAGATGGAATCAATGGGTCTAGTTCTAGTCATTAGTTTAACATATTCTGTACCAGTTGACATTTCCATGTAGTCTTCAGGAGCAACACTCCGCACAATACAAATTGGAGTGGTCTAATATGGATGCTAAAAGGCCAGCATGGTGTACTGGGTTTGAGCATTGGACTAGGACTCTGGAGACCAGGGTTTGACTCCTCATTTGGCCATGGAAACCTACTGGGTGTCATTGGGCAAGTCACAGTCTCTCAGCCCCAGAAGAAGGCGATGGCAAACCCCTTCTGAAAAAACTTGCCAAGAAAACCCAATGATAGGGTTGCGGTCACCACAAACTGGAAACGACTTGAAAGCACACAACAACAATAACAATATGGATGTTACATAGTTGTCGATAACTTAGACTAGGGGTAGGCAACCTTTCCCCTTTAAGGGCCGAGGGACTTCAGCTCCCAGAAGCCTCAGCCATGTTGGCCAATAGTCCCATGTTGGCCAATAGCTCCTGGGATTCTGGGAGCTGAAGTCCCTCGGCCCTTAAAGGGGAAAGGTTGCCTACCCCTGACTGACAAAGGGCCTTTGCAGACTGCTAGAAATAGTGCAAATTGAGTCCACTTTAAGAGTTAGGGTTAGGGAATCATGGGAACTGTAGTTTATTGTGACACCAGAACTCTAACAGAGAAGGTTCAATGTCTCAGAAAAAAACCAATTCCCATGATTCCCTAGCACTAACCCTAACCCTTAAAGTGGACTCAATTTGCATTATTTATGGCAGTCTGCAAAGGCTTTAAGTCGTCTTGGAAGTCACAGTTGCTGTACCAGCTTTAGTTAATTAAAAGTGCTTTGTGTCACATCTAATAGTTACCACTGTCCTTGGACAGATGAAATCAGTCAACAAGAATGCCTAGCTCATCTTGATAGAGGCTCAATTTATTCACCCTCATCCAATGAACTGCTGATCCCAAGCAGCATTTCAGAACTTCTATGTTGCTGAAAAGGGAGGGATAAAACTAGATGACATCTCCACATAATGCCTCAATACTTCAGATAAGGTAGTGGTTTTGAGCAGGTATTAAACAAGTGTTAGACTGGAGGAGTTTTACAACTAGGCAATAATTCTTGTCTAAATAGTGAAGCTGGAGTGGTAACATGCTTTGACACAGCTAACAAATACTTCGTAACACCCCCCCCCCAAAAAAAAACTAGGCTTAAATCCAAGATTGAACTAATACCTAATTGCTAGCATGATGCTGCTTTCTTTTCCTTCCCTTTGCTGTTGGCTGTGATGCCAGAAAACCTGCCCCACTGGTTTTCATGCCCCGTGGAGCAGGTTTGGGCACTGGGGAAAAGATTGCCATCAGTGGGTCTACACTACTGGATGCTGGTGGTCCTAGTTAGTTTCTTACAGTAGAGTTGTATGAACTCAGAAGGATTGCCAGTGCAGTGGTATTTTGGGAATTGTAGTTTGTTGTGCCACCAGAATTACATCTCATTGAGCCATGGCAGTTAAAGTGGTGTCAAACTGGATTATTTCTGCAGTGCGGATGCAGCCCAGGTGTCACTTATTTGAGGACAAGAAAGCTTGTCTCTTATAGGGCTGGCAGATGTCCTGCATTATAAGGAGTGCCCTCTGTTTGAGGATTGAAAAACTTGTTCTTTATACTGACTGAATGAGATTTTTTTGGGGAGGGGGAAATCTGTTGTGTGGGACCACCATAAAGATAAACATGTGTGCATCATGTGATTATGAATATAGACAATATGTTAATTTTACAGAGAACTCCATAGCTAAGTAAACTGAAACCGGTACTTTATTTTTGGTATTTAGGCAGAACACAAATGTATTATTATCTACTTCCTGATTACCAGTCTTGCATGGCAAAAAATTTGGTTGACTTTTATTGCTGTTTTAAAAATCTGGCAACGCTACTACTCAGTAGGTCCCATGGACTTTAATGGGACACCTCCAGGCTGTAATTATTTCACTGCAGCCTAACACTCTACCAGCAGGCTGTTCTGTTAGTCATACCCAGAGCTATACCATATTAAGGCTGAAAGACTTTTTTATGGCCTTGTGAAATCTTCATCTTTTATCTTTGTTCTTAAAAAACAAAAAACAAACCCAGACTAGCATGCTTAACTTGATTTAATGATGTAAACCCTATTACAACAGCTAAAAATTATTCTACATTATCTTGAGACAAGTGAGGTGTGCCAGTAAGCCATATCTGGTGTATTTGTTTTAAATCTGTAGATACAGGGGGAAAAAAAATAAGAACAGGAAGTTCTGTGAGATGTGGTTTTGCACACTCATGCAGTTTATTCACCATGTGAAATGCAGGAGAATGAATACTCACACAGAATCAATATATTGTTCACAAATTCAGAGTTCACAGACACCCCCCTCCCATTAGGCTTGTTAAATATGCCTAAATTGTTTATCTTTCTTGGATGATTTTCAGCTCAGTCACCATTCACTGTGATTCTTTGACTTTTCTGGGCAAGCTTGAACCTGAGTACTTACTTGCCTATGGATAAAAGATTTTGGGAGGAGAAACAAATTTAAAAATTAGTGGTGATGATTCAACAGATGAAACAGATTATCCAATGAGTTCAAGACATTGTACTTGGTTCTCTTCTTCCTCTACAACCCTGTGAATTAGGTAGAACTCAGAGAGAGAATGACTGGCCGAGGGTCACTCAGTGGGTTTCACAACTTAGTGACATCTCAAATTTGAGTTTCCCAGGTCCCAGTTCAACCCAGTGGGTCTCAAACTATGGGGTGTGAGGGTTGGTCAAAATGGTGTTGGGGGGGGGCAAGACTTGGAAGCCCTGGTCCTTCCTCCTGCTCCTCCTCCCAATCTTTTCTGTCCTGGAGGGGAAGAGAAAGGGGAGGAAGAATGCTTGGAGCCAGTGGCATCCCTAAGGTTGGTATCGCCTCATTGACCTCCTCCAATACTACATCCATACAGAATCCTTAGTAATGTTTTTTGTACTAATTTACTCATAAATAGTAATTTCCTTTTATCACTGAATCTAACAGTAACAGTTGTGACATAAACAACTGGCAAAATTTAAATTATCTTTAAATTATGATATCATATGCACATAATGAATGTGTTTACATATACATAGTTTTATGTGATTAAAGTGAAAATTTGGTCGAATGTGATGCCTTTAAAGAAATTGTTAAAAATTAAAAATTAATTT